ATTGTCAATATTTTTGGCCATGACTGTATTTGTTGGGATCCTTTTTAAACGTTTACTGGCCATTTGAACCTGTGTGTGCCACCTTGTGTGTCTTTACCAAGGCCAAAAATTTCAGGGTATGGAAACCTTTGATCAGGGCCATTTGGGTGATTTCTGTTATTATTATGATTTAAAAAGGAGCCAAACAACTATGTGATAATAAATGGCTTCATATGATTACTATCCTTAGATCAGTCATATTTTCAACATCAATGCCAACATTTTACAATTTCTGCCAGGGTATGCAAATTTCTGAGCATAATTATATGTAACTGAAGGAAGTGGATAGAAGGAGGGAGTGCCTTAGGAGGTCACGTGCAAATTATATCACTTCCGATTATAAGCTGGAACTGCGGCCACATTGTTTCCTAAAACTTGCATAGAGTCCAGAAGAGTAACTGTATCTGTGAGGCCGTGGTGTCCAGGGCTGTCTTATCACACAGGCACCTTGCATCCCCCCTCACCCCCAACAAGGGGAATCACATGTGGTCAGAGTGAGCCATCAGTGCAGGGGGTGGAGGAAATAACTGGAACCGATTTTCTATGTGGCTGCAGCAGCTGAAAGCCAGCATGTCCTTCTCCCACTTGCCGGCTTTCAGCTGCTGCAAGGAGTGCCACAAAATATTGGTCCTAGTCATTTACCCTATCCACAGCACTGATCACTCCCTCTTTTAGATCCCTCCTGCTGCCTGGGTCCCCCTGTGTGCCCCCCCCCCCCCCCCCCCAATGCTGCTTGATTCTCTGCTCTCCCACCAGCAGCTGCAGGCAAACAGAGAGATCTACTGCATGGAGAGTGGGGGAAGGGGGTTGTAAATATGTAATTACTGGCCCATTCCTTTTCTGAATGAACACAGTGATAGATCTGAACTGATCACTCACTGTGCTCATTCATAACGGAAGTATAGTAAACCGTGTTTACTATGCGTCAGTTTATGAATGAACAGGAGCCTCTGTCTCCTGTTCATTCATCTTCAGTGCAGCTAAGGCTGCAGAAGGAACTTGGGAATGTATTTCCTCAGTCCCTTTCTCTGTCTCAAAAGTGAGACTTCAGGGGTCTGTTTATACCCCTGGTATCTCACCAAAGACCCCCTAACAGCGTTGTGCAAAAAGGTAAAAAAATATTTGTAAAAAGATAATTAAAACATTATAAAAAAAATATAATCAGACTAAACAGGCATAATTTAGCCACACCCACTGTTTGCTGCAGCACACTACATGCACCACAGGTCACCATCTCCCTGGTAAGTGCCCAGCATGCATTATTTTGCCCAGGGGACCATGATGCTATTAAGATGGCACTTGTGGTTTCAGGAAGAAAATCAAAATTTTACAGCTGTCAACAAAAAAGACATAGGGGTAAATTTCCCCATGGGGAAACTTGTTTCTGTAAAAACCTGCAAAGATGGAATTTCAGCTCATTTTAAAGATACAACATTCTCATTTCCTGTATATCTGGGGCAGAAAGTAGAACCTGACAGAACCTGAAATCTCTTCAGTTGGAACACAGGTAGGAAGTAGAACCTGACTAACAATAGAACTTGTCAACATTCCTTACTCTGTCAAAAACTAGAACAAAACTTTTGACACCATATACTTTAACTAGATGAAAAATCCAGGAAGGGAGTAGGACCCCTCTATTAATAGATTGGGTGGGTGGAGAACTTCTCTGCAGAGATCTCCTTGTTGGTGTTTCCAAAGGAAAAAAGCAGAACTGGTTGATTCATCTCTTCTGATCACAGGTGAAGAATCAGTTGAGGATGGTGTCCCTGTATACTCAGATTGGAGCTGCTGTTAAAAGTCATTTTAATCCGTGTTGGTTTTCTCTGTGTCTGCGAAGGTCCACTTTGCGTTGAAAGCCTTTACCGCACAAATCACAGGTGAACGGTTTGAAACCTGTGTGCTTACGGCTGTGTGTGATGAGGTTGGAGCTCTGACTGAATGCTTTTCCGCAGATCACCTGGCATTTGTGTGGCTTTTCTCCTAGAAACATAATAAGGAAAAGGAGCCTTTAATCATCTGTTTCTGAAATATGGTAATCCCCCGCAGCCTTACTCCAGCTCTACTGACATGAAGATGCAAGAGAATAGTTATAAGTAGCTTACGTGCTGGTAAAGGGTGCCCTCCAAGCTGGCAGTCATCTACACTTCTCAGTCTAGCACCTGGTGGAGGGACTGTGGTCAACGCGGCACATCCCTACATATTTAGTGGGAGCGTCCCCGAGATATGTCCATTCTGGATGGACATCAACTCATCCTGGATTTTGATATTCCTGACTCACTGATTCACTTTTTGCTACATTCTCCTCTCAGACATTATATGACGTGCGTTTTGCCCTACCTCCTCAACGCAGCCAGATGCCTAATCCCAGCCTATTGGAAGAAACCCCAGATCCCTAGTTGGACAGACAGGGTGTGATTGGTGACCAATAGAATGGAAGTGGAAGAATGGATGGCCAAATGCAAGGATAAATATTAAAGGTTTTACTCCATTTGGGCTACTTAGATCCACTATAGTTCCGGGTTACTTGGGACTTACCCCCCCCCCCCCCCATACACACCTGCCCGCATTCCCTCCATCATGCGCTATTCTAGCAGAGCTTGTCAAATGAGTTATCCGAGGCCCTGAGGCTAACTACTGCCTTAAACAGAGAGGATTCTAGGTTTATTCTTAATATTGCTGGATCTGCATCCTGTCTGTAATTGTTTTTGTTAGTCTAGTTTTTCTGGTAGGTTTTGTTCGTCCTCTTTTCCCTCCTAATGACTGGGTGACCAATACTTCAGTGCAATGGTAGCACAGGCCCCACAGCCTCATCCAGGCTCACTACTGTAGCTTTGTGAGTAAGCGATAGGGTCCCACCCCTAATAGGCTTGGACGAGCATAGGGTATGCGATATGTCCTCCTATACCTCATTGTAATATTTATATCTTTTCCACCCAGTTTATTTTTTTTTTCTTCACGAGGGAACCATTTCTTGTGATAATACCTCTTTTAGGTGCTTTTAAAGCACACACCTGTACTATTTGAGACCCAGAGACATGGCGGCCATGTATGATCTCTTGAATTCTTTATACGGTATGCTAATGACTAATGTTAACTATGAACTGTTGAAAGTGCCTTACTGCACACCCCTCGATGGCTTCCTCTTTTTATGCGTGCTGTTGCAAGAAATTGTTTTATATAAATAAAGAATAGATAGATAGATAGATAGATAGATAGATAGATAGATAGATAGATAACTTATGCTGACAGGACCATGTGTGGTTCGAATGTCCATTGAGCCAGCAGGAATCGGTCAAACAGCAAGCAGTGTATGGCCATCTTTAAGCCCTGTGTAAGCTTCAACTCTTGAATGAAGTCTTATGAAGTTCTGCCATGTCAGCTGCCTGACTTTACTCTCTGTGTACTCAAGGGCTGGAAAAAAGCATGTGAGGTTGGGGAGTTGACAAGGCAGCAACAGTCATATGGCAGGGGACCTCTGGTACATGTTGAACTTTCAGACTAAGATATGGCAAGTGGAATAAAATAATAGGACCCAGGAACCTATTGAAGGATTAAAGTGAAACCTTTAAATATTGTTTAGAGAAGAGTGCATATAATGTTTCTAATGAACATTGTGCAGGTTAATTTATTAATTTAAAGTGTACTATCAGACATATTTCAAACTACAATATGAAATCTACTGCTTGTCTGTACTGTACATTTTTTGACATTGTACAATTTTTAACACTTGTGTATCTGTAGATCTATCTTTGTCTATTTTGTACAAGTGGAAAACTTTATTTAATAAAATTACCTTTTAAAAAGAAAGTGAAACCCCAACAATTTTTTTTTGTTCAAGTGGAGTTCGGAAGGGTTAAAACCCTTAAAATCAGGTTTTGATAGCCATCTGTTTGACCAAGAAGATATTCATCCTGTCCCAGTGGCCATTGCCAACAGGAGCATAAACCAAAGCTGGTGTAATGATGACAGAGGGTCTAACTCTTCCCCACTATGTCCAAAACAATAACTGGCTGTAGTTTCTCAATAAAATTATTTCACTAATAAAGTGTATACACCGCTCAGTGTTGATGTCATCGCTACTTGTCAAGGTGATATCAGGTTTTGCAAAAGGTGTCCGGAGTTCAGCTTTAATGCATACTTCAATTCTAATTATGTACAACAGTCATGGCATAATTCTAGCTATGCACACTAATTGTTCAGAGCAGGGGAGAACTGGGTGGGGATTTGCTCATCCGCCCAGTACTAATAAGATATCTTGGTTTGATGGCCCTCAGTGAAGATACTTCAACATTCAGATAATAATGAGAGTGGACCCGCAGTCAGGAACAGATGATGGACATTATTTAGCTACTTGCTCCCTGTCCAGGCCTACAGTCACACCATCTGGCAGAGTTGGCCTTCATCACAATCTTCGTTTGCAGCTCTAAGATGTCATGTGGTCAAATACCAAGAGCCACAAAGTAAGCTGATGCCGGAAGATGTGAAAACGTATGTCACAATAAACTACATCCTTTATGAACACCAACACCAATCAATAAGTTGCCATGGTATATTATGCAGGGTTTACTTTCTTCAGCCCACAGAATTCTATCCCTAGTACTAAAGGAAGAGTTTGTTGTGTTTGCTTCATAAGCTTATCCCTGGTTTAGAAGTTATACAGAAATTAATTCCCCACTCTGGTCATCTTGCAGCAGGATTAGCATTAGCATTGTACATGTTTCTGCAGTCATTGGAACCATGATCAATCTGCAAGTGATCAAGGGAAAATTGTATATTCCTTCAATTTAGGTAAACAAAGTAGATTTTTTTACTTTGTCTAAAATGGCAGTAATTCCTTTATCCGTTATCATATTCCTGATTTTGCTTGACACCTGGGGTTGATTAAATCCTTTTTCCTATAACATGGAGGTACAGGATATTCTTTAGTAATTACTTACCTGTGTGAATGTAAGTATGCTTCTTCATGTCAGACTTTTGATGGAAACGCTTTCCACAGAACTGACAGGGGTAGGGCCGTGTGTCGGAGTGGATGAGCAAATGGGTAGACAAGGTAGAGGAGCGCTTAAATGTCTTTCCACACATCTTGCATTCGAAGCTCCTTTCCTGAAAGAAGTCAGGTGTTAGTCACTGAAGGAAGTTTTATAAATACCAACTAAAACTGATAAATTCATTTTTGGTGAATGTTGGGAGGTTCTCATGTCAGTGACCCAGAAAGTATTAAATCCAGAACGTAAGAATAGGTAGTCAAGTGTATTTTCAGAAGGAAGTCAGCAATGGAAGCCCTTGTATTTCTTTTAGGAAATGTTTACTCTCATTTGTGGCCACTGAGCTACTGTGAGATTCTTCAGCAGAAGCTAAAATGTCTAAGAACATGTGATGCCATGTAAATGAATAGCTTAAAGTTTTCCGCCATGTTCTGCTGAGACCTGCCCACCTCCACTTAGCCATGTCCATATTTCGAAGGGATTGTATTTGATAGTCTCCAACTATTAATTGCTTTGTTTCTCACCTGTGAGTGGACATTAAGGTGCTGCTCCAGGCTCACTGCATGACCAAATGACTTTCCACAAATATCACAAACAAATGGCCTAGTCCCGCTGTGAGATCTTCGTACATGTACCTCAAGACCATGGGAAGTAGAGAAAACCTGTAGAAAAATATACAAAAAGCCTTTAAAGTGTAATTCTAGCCAAGGTAGAACCAGTCAGGTTTTATTGTTGTAAATGTTCCAATTGGAGAGATTTCATGTGTGGCCAACAGTTGAAAAAGTGAGGGTAAACCTCTTCAGTGGTGGCACAGCCAGCAATAAAAGCACTTGTTCCAAGTCTGGAGTCTGGATCATGGGAAGTATTATATGCATTGGATCAATATGACAGCCAGGCATAAAGGTTTCAGATGGAAAGATCAGCTTTGGCAGTTTCCACATTCTGTCAGTTTTCTAACTTAGGTTACATGACTACCTCCTCTTCTGAACATCTGCATGGACATTTTCTAAATCATTGCTCAATGAGACTGACTAAGCACAGTGCCAGTGCTGTAATGAGAAGGAATTTGCCCCTGGGGCATCATAAGATGAAGCTCTCACACAGCTCCATTTTGCTTCTATCATATTCCTTTTTTGGTCCATTGTTGGCAGACCAATCATAGTGAATGGACTGCTTTAAAGCAATATTCATCAAAACAATGTAGAAGATCATACAAGCATGAATAAGGCATAAAGATGGTGCAGGGATGCAACATGCAAGGGGCGGGGGCAGGGGTGAATGTTCCATTGGAGCAGACTGTGTAGCTTCACAAGGGCCTTCTGGCACTTGGGAATCCATTTATACTAGATGGGTAACTTCTTCTCACACTTATGTATATCTGGACAGTGGACACAGTCCACTGCTGGCTGAAAATCTATATACACATATATAAAATAGCCAAAATATTAATTTTAGTTCCTATTCATGCTTGTAAAATGATGATGCTTTTAATGAATACATGGGTGCAATGAGATCTGCACTTTACAATCAATGAAACTGGAACAGCGTGCAGAAAACAAAGAGATCAGAATTTATCCTTTGATCCTAATGTCCAAGCTGTCATTATGCATTTTGACTGCAGTTTCTCGTACATTTAATTGTGCCAGAAATAATTAAAAAGGCCTAATGTTAAGTCCATGCAGGGTCACCTGAACTGAAAAGCAAAGCAATGGTTCAAACTTACTTTGCTGCACTTTACACAGTGGTAGGTTTCCATAGCTGAAGTGTACCCCATGCTGTAATTCAGAGGGTGATCATAGCTTGAGTCAGTCGTAGAAGAACTATTGTACAAGTTTATGGAGTGCTGCAACATGGAAGGGTGTAGATGGGATGGGATTTGCTTGAAGCTGTAGGCAGAGTGTAGGGAGTCCCATGAGAAGTTCTGCTTGTAGAAAGCAGACAAACCAGGAGAACTGTAGGCTTTTAGAGGAAACAAGGACAAGGAAATGCCTGGAAAAAGCAATGAAGAATGATAAAATAATACTTTATACCCACCTATATGATAAAAGTCTACCATATTAGGCAACTTGGTAACTGGAATAGATAGTTTGCTTTGTGTTTCCTTATTAGATAGCCTTCAATAAGCCTTACTTAAATAGTCATGTTTAGTTTGACTATTACCCTAACTTCACTTGCTGAATCATGAGAACGTGATTCCCGGCGAGTCTTTTATCCACTTAACTTTCTCCTTTGGTCAAACTATGCACTGCTTCTGTTGTGTTAATTTGATATAATTTAACAAAATAAGAATAGAGCAGTTTGCAATAGGTTGAGACAACTGTCCTTTGGAGTTAATGGGGATAGAAATTCAACCTTGGCTTATGTGGTGTTTCCAAAGGCACCCAGACCTTCAAGGGTTAGGCCCATCCTTTCACCAGCCCAAAATTCCTCAAAGATTATTAATGCCTATAATTCAACAAAATAAAAAGGGAACTACTTCTATATAAATAAGCTTAGATTCTCTTGTATTAAAATGTCTCTGTAAGGAATTGTGGGATGGTGAAGAGATTTGAGAAGTGTACATCCACCATCCTACTTAACCACCACAATCAACTCTACTCTGTTGACCCCAACAGGCCTGCTGTAAAACAATAAAGCCATAATACTACTCACTTAAAAAGATCTGTCAATTCAAGCATGAAAGGATAACGCATATAAGATTGCATTAGAATAAGCAAAAGTTCTACTTTACTTTGCATTACTCATATTCTTGTAATGGCAAAGACAGAAGGTGAGATGTTGATACAGTCAACTGTAATAAGGCATTGGTTATATACAGTATCTTAGGGCTTGTTCACACTATATGAGGAAACCTGCATTTATCTGCAACTGATCAATGCCAGTCACCACGAGGGCATATAGAAAAAAATTGTTTTTATGTGTCCCGTTCACACCACAATGCAATTGTAATAGGTGGTGTGGTGCAAAAAATGCAAACGTTTTGCATTTTTCCACAGTGCATGGTCCTACACCAATAAAATTTGGTTTGAAATGTTTTGCTTTTACAATGTTTGTTTGATTTTCCAATGGTTAATGGGGTTAATGTTTATTTTTGACATGACAAATTGAAGGAGCAGGATGGAGAATTTATCTTAAATGAATGAGTTTTTTACAACGTATGTGTTTTTTGCTAGGGAAATTCTGTGTGTACCAAAATAGTAAGTAATAGTAAGTACTTCCGAATGTAGCATTGGGAACATGTTACATGTTCCACCTTAAAAACGGGTGGAACATGTAACATGTTCCCAAGGTGATCTTATCCTTTAAGTCTTAAAGACTTTTGATATCTTTTACTGAATATGGCTATTATGCTTTAAGTATGTGGTAAAGCCCAACATCGGTATAAAAAGGGTGGTGCCCAACAATCACCCCTCATTGCCTGCCTATTATTCCTTGCAATCTGGGGCAAAAAGAGTCGCCTCAACAAACACAGAAATATAAAAAGCCACTCCTCAGCAATCTGCATTTGTTCTTTTCAAGCAAAGACACTGGGTCTGGCAGGGAAAAATCCAAATATGAATGGGGGACCCGTCATATATATTGTAATGCAGGACACATGTATAATTCTGCATTTAGGTGTACTTCCTCACATCTAAACTTGCATGGAGCAGCCTAGCTGAAGCTTCCTGCAAGTATGTCCTCCATGCTGAAGTTGGGTGGCTGACATCTTCTATGAAGGGTACAGCGTGACAATCATGACACGGATAGACTGTGTGAAGGCAGACAGATAACATCTTAAGCGCTTTTAGAGTTGTCCACTGGTGGTAAGTAAAGTAACGAGCCCATTCAAGTTTCCATTTCTTCTATTAATTCTTTCATTTTACATTATAACATACTTCTGTTAGGGTATTTACTGGCTTTTTCTATTTGGGGTAAACAGGGTGGAAATAATAATTTAGCAGAATACCTGGTGTGGAAGGGCTTGAGTTGCTTTTGGATAGAAATGTTGACTTCCCCTTCTCATCTATTTGGTACTCCTGAGACTTGCTCCTGGCCTGGTCTTCAGGGCTGTTTTCTTTGTGGTCACTGCACAGTAGACCTCCTTCTAGTGGATCCTTAGATTTTTGATCTACTCAAAAGCAACAGGGATTAATATTTACCATTAATCCTTATTATATCAGCAACTGAACAATAAGACATGAAATAAGCCAAGCATCTTCAAACTCAAATCAAAGCTTGAAGGACAACGCAATCCAACCTGTCAGTTTTGTGTGGTTTTTGTCATTTTATATTACCCAATAGGTTCCTTTATTGTAGATTTCCTCCAGAATTTCCGACTATCACTAACATTACAAAAGACAAAGAATAACAAAAGATCTTGTCCAGGGGCAGACTGACCATTTGGAAACTCGGGCACTGCCCGAGGGCACGGGGTCAGTAGGGGGCCCCATGAGATGCCCCTGGTACCTTTTTCATAGGCTTTTTTGAGTTTGGGCAAGGACACAGGGGCCCCATGATCCCCTATTGCCCGGGGGCCCTATGAGTTGTTAGTCTGCCCCTGATCTTGTCACGTTCCCTAGATGGATTTTATGTAAGACCAAGAAAAGAGTAGGCAGAAGCAGGCTTGGCATTGCTAGCCCCATAATGCTGTCTTAAATTTCCCACAGACTGCTGCAGTGCATAAAAAAGGTAGTTTGTGAGCCCAGCAGTCTATGTATTTGCAACCTTAGACTAGCTACATTTCAGAGCAATAGGTAACCATTAGCAGTCAGGGTACCAGCTGGCCGGGGGAATGCCTCAAAGAAATTTGGGTCTACATGGTGCCCTGTGAATGAGTTATAATTGCAAAATGTATATGTACCTTTAACCACTTCAGTTGTTGCACATGTATACCCCTTAAAGATAAAAGCAATTTTCATATATTTCAGTCTATTATTTCTGTGATAACACTGCCGTTGCTTAAAGTGGAACTATAGCCTTAGAATGAAACATTGCTTTGAATGAAACATACAGTCTATTCTGCAATAGAAGCCTACCTGCCAACAATGTTTCATTCCAATAATTCCTCCTTTGCTTCTCCTAAAGGTAAACTGAACAGTGCTTGGGCAGCTCAGTGTACATTTTTTGGCATTGGGAATATATTAACTACTGTGCTCATGCAGGGGAGTTAAGGCATCCTGGGCTGGCTAATCAAGTAGATTCAAAGATGCAGAATCCAGAAAAATACTGGACTAAGATTTTACCAGTGGCGAGGGAGCTTGCAGGCTTCGCATTGTTGATGGCTAGCCAAGTGCAGTGGCCTTTAGTTCTGCTCTAATGACTATAAAGTAATACAACTATCTTTCTGGGGGACAAACAAAGCTTTTATATTTTATCTCAACCAGAACACTACGTGCATGGAGTTTGCATGTTCTTCCTGTGCTTGTGTTGTGTGGGTTTCCTCAAAGTACTCCAGTTTTCTATCACACTCCAAAGACATGTTGGGTTTGATTTACTAAAACTGGAGAGTGCAAAATCTGGTGCAGCTCTTCATAGTAACCAATCAGCTTCCAGGTTTTATTGTCAACGCTTCATTGAACAAGCTGAAGTTAGAAGCTGATTGACTACCATGCACAACTGCACCAGATTTTGCTCTCTCCAGTTTTAGTAAAACAACTCCACTGGTAGGTTAATTGGTTCCTGCCTATATTGGCCCTACATTTGTAACTATTTGTATACATGCATAAGATATAAGGGCCTTAGACTGTAAGCTTCCCGAGGGCAGGGACTTATGTGAATGTACAATCAATAAAGCGCTATATAACTACTTGTAATAATGACAGTAATAAGAAAAATAATAACTATAATAATAATTTGTTCTTTTTATAATTATACAAATATTACCTTTCTGCAATAAAGCAGGGAAATGTATTAATGAATCAAACATTTTTTTATTTTGTGATATTTGTTTACAGCAGTGTTTCTCAACCTTTATTTCAGTCAAGGCACCCTTTAAAATTAAGGACAGTCTTGAGGCACCCCATTCTAAAATGTAAAAAAACTATTCTAATAGTTTTATATAACGCAGCAACATCCACACATGTAGGACACCCAACGTTGGAAGTGATTTATTCTTCCAAATCAAATACACTTTTGCACACTGGTACTGACTAGTATTACAGTGTTTCTCTCAGTGTTTCTCCATCACTGAGCTAATGTGACCCCAGCACTGATGGAGAGGGGCAGGAGAGAGTCAAAAAAGGATGTTGTGCAGGCAATTGACATCCTCCTCATCAACTGATGATGTCATTGGTTGCCAGGATGCCGATGGCTAGAAGGTTGTAATGGCGCAAAATGAAGATCTGTGGCTTTATGTAACTAAAAGTCAGGCTTGTATACAAGTTTTGGACAACTTTTAGACATTTTGCCAAGGCACCCCTGAAGAAACCTCAAGGCACCACAGGGTGACTGGGCACCCTGGTTGAGAAAGGCTGGTTTACAGAAACACAATAAATAAAAAAAAAGTATTATTTTATTATTAGTGATTGGTGTCTCTTGCTTTGAGTGGCTGCAGACTTTATTCCATGCCTTTGAGATTGTAGGCAGAATGAGTATATGGTATTGAAACTTGAAAATATTTAAAACTTTATGAACACCCCTAATGAACTAACAAACTACGTGACTGACATCCTGTAGGCCTCAGCGGTCTTTGGGTGCCTTTACTCCCTTCTGCTGCCCATGATCCTTGGTTATCTGCACGCCTGCTCTGTCCATCTGGGTCAAATGGTGATATCTATATTTGTTGTTTTTATATGCTACGGATTTTTCTCCATGTAATAATTGTCATCTTTTGATGTGGAATCCCTGATACCCCTGAGGAAGAAGCTATGTATCTCTGAAATGCATCAGCTGAATGGAAACACATCAAATCTATGACGCTATCTATGACAAGTAGTTTTGTATACTCGTTGTATGATGTAATGCATTAAAAGATATATATATGTTTGGTTCTTACTTTTTTTTTAATTTGTACGAATAAAATTACTATTGTATTTCTACTATAAAGCTGTGATATGAAGTCCCATAAGAGATTTAGCAATACATTCTATTTAAAAAAGTAGTAGAAAAAAAATAGCTATGGGGACAAGGTGAGAAAGGAGTTGATTAGGGCTAGGTAGGATTTACTTAGGGTTAATAAGGGGTTAAATGGGTATAATTGTTTATTAAAAAGCATTTGCGGGAGCGGTCGCGTCGCGTTGCATCGCGGCAAAACGGACGCCTCTGGTCAAGTCAGGAGGCGTTGAAGCCTCCTATTCTTGTCTATGGTGCCGCTCTGCAAACGCCCGGCCGACGTTTGCGGTGCGGTTGCGGGGCGTTTTCCGGAGCAGTAACACCACTCAAACTGCATTATAGGCGTTTGTGGGGCGTTATTAACGCTCGGCAAACGCCTAGCAAGCGCAGCTAAACCTCGCATGCGGCGGCTATAGGGGCATTTGGCAAAACAGCCAAATGTGAACGAGCCCTTAAAAACGCTTCTATACGCAAACACACATAAACGCGGTATGCAAAATTACATTTTTTAACCTACGTTTTCCAGCAGTCAGTTTCCATCGTTCAGAAGAGTTTTCCAAACGCCCCGTGTACATGAACCCTAAGGCCTCATGTACACTGCTGCTCCTAAACATGAGTTTAGGAGCATTTGGTGTTTTTTTGCCAAAGCCCCTGAACTCAACTCAATAAAACCCTATCTGTCCATGTACACATAGGCTTTTATCAGAGTTTAGGAGCTGCAGAGTTTAGGGGCAGCTAAACATTCCATAATTGCGTTTAAGAGAGGAAAATTTTGGCGAAACCGTGTGTAAAAGTGACTAAACGCTAGCCGCGTTTAGCGCTTGGACGTTTATCTATGTCAATGGAAAATATTCTGGCCAATCATATGAATAAACATCCAAGCGCTAAACGCCGTACTCCCGTTTACACGTGTTTTTGGCGCGTTTAACGTTTTTCTGCTGCCAAGAGAGTTTAACAACTAGGTGAGTTCATGTGTACATGAGGCCTTAGGTGTAGCTGGTGTTTCCAAGGTCCACAATTAGGATGGAAATTTATGCACATAATATATCATTAATAAATCACTAGATATGCTATTCTCATGTGTTTTCGCACAACCTGGCTCCCTTATGCTATGCATGCTGGGTAATATTAAACTGCCTTAATGAAGTAAATGTTGGTAAACAGCACAGTCACAGAGCTATGACTGCGTGTATGATTTATGTGTAATTTGCTAAAACCTGTGCTACAAAATGCATGTGTTGACACAGCGTGTGTGTGACTGAGAAACCGCAATGTTTATATAGACACTTGGCCAATTTATTTATGTCTGGAGATCCGGCTTTGATTGAGCTGAGAAAACATATCATAACTGAGAATCCTCGTCATGCCCAGAACAGCTGAAGTAAAATATCTCAGCCAAGCTTTCCTACATGTACATTTCTAAAAATCTCCATATAACAGGCAGCCTCAGACACTGAAAGGATAACCAGCCCTGCACAATAGTTAGATGTTCTACAACATTGCCCTACCTTTAAGGATGGAGCTGTTTTAGAAAAGGTAAATGTCTTAAAAATGTCTGGATGGTGAGTAAAAGTATATGTAGCACTACTCCCTTAGGAGTCGCTGAAAGATTTGGGTCTCCCTATAGTCCTACACAACCAGGCATTACGCATCTTCCCACAGGGTTGCATCGACAGTCAGAGATCAGTCCTTGTGCTTTGGTTTTGTTGTTTTATTTAGGGGATTCGAACTGGGATAGGGTTAGGGGTGTACAAGAAAAATTATAAACTGAGGACAACTTCCTGGAAATATTTCCAAGCCTTCCGTGTGGCAGTCTTTGTTGAAGAACTACTCAATGTCTCCTTAATGTACCACCCCAGGTACTGGATGAACTCCTCTTCTTCACCCAACAATTTGGAGGTATCCCTGGATAGGGGATCTGGTGCCCGTTACTTTAAATGTGGACAATCCCAAATAGGCAGCGAATATGGTTTTCCACCAGAGTGCTCCTTCCCCTATCCACCCAGAGTGACACCCCCAGTGACACCAATACAGTGATCAGTGCTAAAAAAAAAAGCACTGATACTGTACTAATGGCACTGAG